GGGAAGGGAAGGGAAGGGAAGGGAAGGGAAGGGAAGGGAAGGGATCCGTTCCATGATGGCAGGATGCGATGGTGGGAAGGAGACGTTTGCCGAGCCGTCCCGAGCCCGAACCACAAATGGGCCAACTTTGTAGGGAACCTCCCTCGGTGGTCCACCAGCCCCGCTCCGGCGCCGCCCCTACCTTCTGCGGCGGGGTGCCGAGGAGCAGCTCGATATAGTAGCCGCGTCCCGAGTCTCCCTGCAGATTGTCCACCATCGCCATAAAGTTGAGGGAGCCGCCGGGATCCGACGCTAAGGCCAAGCCCGAGGCTTCCTGGAGCGCCGGCTGGCTGCCGGTTCCGCCGCTGCTCCGCGACTTTAGCAGCACCGGCGTGGGAACCAGAGCGCCGTCGGGGCTCACCGGAGAAGACACTTGGAGGCGGAAGGCGAAGCGAGCCCGGCCGCGCTCGGCCACGGCCACCAGGAGCAGCAGCAAGAGACAGCCAGCCGTCCGCGACATCCCGTCGCCGCAACCCGAGGCAATTAGAAAGGAGGGAGCCGCTGCCTGCCCCTGCGCTGCTTCTCAGAGCGGCCGCGGCTGTGCGAGGCGAGGAGGGCGCCGGGACGGCCCAGCTTCATGGCGCTCCTTCCCGCATGCAGGTCCTGCGAAGAGCTACCTTGACGCCCAGAGAAAGAAAGTTTCTTTCCGGAGCTCAAGCGTCTCAGCACTTTGCTTACCACTGCGGGGCGCGCCGTCTTCTCTTCCAGACACTCGCCAAGTAACTTCCCAGCGGATGTGACGGGGTTGAAAACAGTTCCGAAGAAAAGTTCCCCGCAGGGCGGTCAGCTCGGCAAACAGCACTCCCCGCCTGAGCCGGTGGGCCAGTCAGCCCTCCACGTGGCCCGCGAACGCCTCGGAGGCGGAGAAGGCGCCAGTGAGGAAGAGGGAGGAATTTCTCCCCCAGCTTTTGTAAGGGGGTGGCGGACGACAGCGAGAGCCATGCTGTTAGAAAACGGGGGGAGTGGGGGGCGGGGTGTCTGTAAAGAGAAACTGCCTGGGGGTGCGGCAGCCCGTGTGGAAGCTTTCCTGTTGCACAGAAGGTCTAATCAGCTGATTGATGCAGCGCTCTCTGTTCTTCAAAATCTACTTTCTCATTAGCCCAGAGGTCAATTTGCACGTGGTTCAGAGTCCTGTAACCCGTGCTAGAGAAACAGAACAATGACAACATCTTTCCTGACCATCCTGACTCTGACTCTCACACGGGCGTCCAAAGATGTCCCATGCGCAATCACTGAAAACCTCCATTTCAGGCCCCAGTTGTTCCAGCATTTCTTTTTCTAGATGTTGGGCCTGGCTAATTGTGCCTATGTACAGCATTTATTTGTGGTACCCACCAGATACAACTCTACCAAGGTGTCATATGTAAACTGAGGCCAAATATTTGGCTATGCCATAGTGTAAATTGGTCTGTTTTGGTTGAGCATGTTGTGTGACCTCTGCCTTATTTGTAAATCATAATTTATGGGTTAGTGTAATGTGTGATCCCAATTTTTGTGATCCCAAAAATTGTGGTTCATTCAACAAACCATAGTTAAGCCATAATTATGGCTGTCATTGTATGAACAAGACATAGTGTGCTTAGTGCCAAAAATAATGTTTGGATGTGTCTTGCAGTGAAAGAAGTGGGTAAGAGTTGTGAAGATTAGGATATAATCATTTATTGGCTTAGAGGCAGCTTTGTCCATGCTTCTGCAACTGGAGAAGGCCATTGTGAAGGAGAGGGAGGGTAGAACTGATCCGTACCCCATCAATTGATCAAAGTTGTATGCCAGCTAGGTGCAGTAAATTCCTATATCCTGACTGTGTATCCGTATACTGGATTTACCTCCTAGTTTGTGGGTTGCGCGTTTCCATGTCTGTAAATTAGATATCCTACCTTGCATAGAATAACAGAAGCATGTTTGGAGTAAAATTGGGATTCGGCAGCAATTGTGACATGCTATCCCAAATCTACCAGAACTGACCACTGCTGTTCTCACTGCTGCAGATAGCACTGGAATGATTGAGGCTGCTAATCTAGTCCACACATTCTCTATCTTATTTACAAGTATCATGTGATAATCTTGATTGAGCAAAGCCATCATGGGTAGTGGGGGTCAGGACCTGTGGGCCCATCTGGTGACAACTGTGGCATATGGGAATTTGTAAATTGTAGTTTTATAAAAGAAGTAAATGGTAAAGAGCATGAATTAGTGAATGAAATGAAAGAAAAACATGTTACATGTCTATGAAAATAAAATAAAGGGAAAGGATGTAATATACTGTATCTGAATAAAAATGATCTTGTAGAAGAGAGCCAGTTTGGTCTAGTGGCTAAGGCACCAGGCTAGAAAGCAGGAGACTGAGTTCTAGTCCTGTTTTAGGCATGAAAACCAGCTGGGTGACTTTGGGACAGTCACTCTCTCTCAGCCCAACTCACTTCACAGGATTGTTGTTGTGAGGAAAATAAGAGGAGGAAGGAGTATTAGGTATGTTTGCTGCCTAATTTATTATAAAAATAATAAAGGCAAGATAAAAAAAAAATCTAAAAAGAACCCCCCCCCCAGAGCTGATTAATACATGTAGAGAAGTGAAAGTGTAGGTTTAATAATGAATGAAATGATTCAAATGTATCTCAGAAACTATGAATTGATATAATCTTTGTTATGAATCAGAAAGTGTGCTTCCATAGATTGATAATAACTGCATGTTATGTTTGGGTACATCCACAAGAGTCATCAGCAACATCTAAATGGTGCATATGACCAGGCAATCAAAGTCTTTCTTCTTTTACATGCATATGATGTGTGCAGTACACATTAAAAAGGACCATGGCTTTAACTGAGTGATTGTGCCTGCCATTTTGATATCGTTGATGGCCCTCGCAGATATTCCTGGGTATGTTCCAATGACTGATGACAGAACCAGAAATGAGTTTTTGGAAAACTTCTGGAACATTCTATGAATGTGATCCAGGAGAGAAAAAAAAATTGCTAGCTAACATGAACAGAGGGTTATTAATTGAGAAGAGAGAATACAGAAATATATGACTGGGCCATTCAGAGACATGCCCCCCTGCCAGGTCCTGCTGTGCTGCCTCATCGTAGTGGGGGTTAGTATATATAACCAGTATATATTCCCAGCAGGATAACCCAAGGTGTGTAGGGCTGCCCAGCTGAAGCAAGCAGGCACCTATATTGGGTAGCAGCTATATAGGAAGATGCTGGAGGCAGGTGATCACTTTAGTGACAATGGTAAAGGCATCAATTGATGCTGCAGAAGAGAAGGCCGTGGTAAACCACTCTGTATTTTTACCAAGAAAACCACATGCATAGAAAATAGAAAATGATTTGCAATATTGATTCTCAGATTGGATGACACTTAGCATGCTACTGAGGAAGAACAGGATCGTCTGGAGTACTAATGGTTTTTATGATGTGGTTAGATGAAAGCCTTCAGGATGTCTAGTTGCTGATGTTGCCACAGGAAAAGAACATCCGAAGCTGCAAAGACAGAGTTATAGTGGGAACATGGGATGTAAGAAGTATGAATGTGGGAAAGCTCAATACTGTGAAAGATGAAATGAAACAACCACAGACTGATATCTTAGGTATCAGTAAACTAATATGGACTGAGATTAGACACTTTCAGTGAAAAGATCACACTGTTTATTACTCAGAATGGGAAAAACAAAAAAGGAACAATGTTACTTTTATAGTTAGGAAGGGTCTAGCAAGAACAATTCTTGGCCACAATGCAATCAATGACTGAATCATATAAATTAGACTTTGTGGCCAACCCTTTGACAATCATTCAAGTTTATGCTCCAATCACCAATGTACAAGAAGAGGAGGTTGATGAGTTTTATGATGAAGTTCAGTTTGAAATTGACAGAACATTCAAGCAAGTTGTGCTGCTTGTGAATGGAGGCTGGAATGTCAAAGGTGGAAACATTAAAGAGGAAAATGTAGTTGGACAGTGTGGCTTAGGAAACTGAAATAAGCAGGAGACCAACTTATCAATTTCTGCCATTCCAATTTCTTCATAGCCAACACTGTCTTCAAAAACCAAAATGATACCTCTGTATATGGCCATCACCAGAGAGAGTACATAGAAATCAAATTGACTGTGTTATTGCCAAAAGGAGGTGGAAGAGCTCAATTATAGCATTGAATTCATGATCAGGTGCTGACTGTGGAACAGATCACAAACTCCTCATGTGCAAGTTCCAAGTTAAGCTAAAGAAGAAGAAATCCAGTCAGTTTCCACAATATGATCTTGAACAGATACCCACCATTTTCAAGGAGAACCTTTGAAGTCCAGAACCTCATTGATAGAGAACCAGATGAATTATGGAATGAACTTAAAGATGTTATTAAGGATGAATGTGAAAAGAGACTGCCAAAAATGAAGAAAGAAGAAGAAACCAAACTGGATGTCAAAACATACTGTGAAATTGCCAAGAAGAGAAGAGAAGCCAAAGCTAAACAGTTTCAGAGCTGTTAGAAGAGACAAGAAGCAGCATTACAACATCTGTAAAAATATTGAAGTTGGAAACAGACATAGAAAATCAAGGAAAGTCTTTCAAAAGATCTCTGAACTCAGAAGGAGATTCCAACCTCGAATTGGTATGCTAAAGGACACCTGCAGATAGTAACTGATTCAAAGGAGATAGAACTAAGATGGAAGGGGTATACTGAAATACTGTATAGTAGAGATGTCAGCATCAAAACTTCCTTAGAAAATATTCTCTATGTACAAGAACCTCTAGTACTAGAAGATGAAGTTAGATCAGCAGTCCGGTCATTACCACATCAGAAGGCTACAGGAACTGATGGAATACCTACAGAAATATGGCAAGCAACAGAAGATGAATCAGTTAAGGTTCTTAGCAAGTGGTGCCAGCAAATCTGGAGAATGACACAGTGGCCAATAGGTTGGAAGAGGTCAATCTACATTCCAATACCAAAAAAAAAAAAAAAAGGAGACTTAACAGAGTGTGCAAACTGTCGTACAATCTCTTTAATTTCACGAGCTAGCAAAATAATGCTTAGGATCATCCAACACAGATTAGAGCCCTACACTGAAAAACAGATGCCAGAGGGTGAAGCTGACTTTAGAAAAGGCTGAGGAACACAAGACATTATTGCTGATGCCCACTGGATAATTGAGGAAGCCAAAGAATGCCAAAAATAAGTCACTATATGTATCATTGATTATAGAAGGGCTTTTGATTGTGTCAATCACATCAAGCTGTGGAATGTGCTCAGAAAATTGGGAACCCCAGAACATATCGTCTTCATAAGAAACTTATATACTGGTCAGGAAGCCACAGTCTGGACAGAACATGGTGAAACAGATTGGTTCCAGCTTGGCAAAAACATGTGACAAGGCTGTATACTATCCCCTTATTTATTCAACTTGTATGCCAAATGTATATTAAGGGAAGCTGGATTGAAAGGAGTGGAATGTGGTTTTATAATTGGAGGAAAAAAATCAATAACCTGTGTTATGCTGATGACATGATCTTGATAGCGGGTTGTGTGCTTCCATGTCTGTAAATTAGATATCCTACCTTGCATAGAAAAACAGAAGCATGCTTGGAGTAAAATTGGGATTTGGTAGCACTTGTGACACATATCCCAAATCTGCCAAAACTGACCACTGCTGTTCTCACTGCTGCATTTAGCACTGGAATGACTGAGGCTGCTAATCTAGTCCACACATTCTCTATCTTATTTACAAGTATCATGTGATAATCTTGATTGAGCAAAGCCATCATAGGTAGTGGAGGTCAGGACCTGTGGGCCCATCTGGTGACAACTGTGGCATATGGAAATTTGTAAATTGTAGTTTTATAAAAGGAGTAAAATGGTAAAGAGCATGAATTAGTGAATGAAATGAAAAAAAAACCATGTTACATGTCTATGGAAATAAAATAAAGGGGAAAGATGTAATAGAACAGCTGCAGAAAG